TGTTTTGCAAGTCTGGCCGCGAATCGAGACATCTTGACCGGGGCCTAGACGAATCGGTCAATCTTCGTAAAAATTTCAGGGTATGGGCTCCCGCAGGCGATCTACCTGATGGCACCGGTCGCTACTCGCTTAAAACCTCGTGGCACGTGGCACGTGCCATTCCATTTTCCCCATGTTAAGTCAACGGGGTTTTGGACACTTTTTGCGCGATCGCCAATGGCCGGAAAACGAGCCAAGGAAGAGGTGGTTTTCTTCCCAGCATTTTATGGCAAACACGTTTGGGTACACGCTAGTGTGCGCCGTATACCCCTCAGAACTTCGTAACGTGTCTTTGCACGAGGTCAAAGTTGAACTTTTTTCGCTCCCCATGTTAAGTCAATGGGCGTTTTTGCAGAGACTTTTTCATTCGCTCATTGTACAAAATTATATGATACGATTTTGTTTAAACTTTCAGGACTTGTTGAGAAAAGACCATAGAACATGTTGTTATGCTTCTTTAAGCTGTGCAAATTCGTTTGTTCTTTTTAGGCTCGTTTAAAAATGAAAAATTTTAACATGGAAAGTGAATGGGAGCGTCTTTGCTGCTTAATAACTTTTTACAGTTGAGATATATTTAAGTGAAAAGTTGATAGGTTATACAACTTTTGATGCTCTTTCCAATGATATATACAACTTTATTGCACGTGGTGCCGTTTTTGAGAAATATAGTAAAAAAGCACGACATTACCGAGATTTGAGCTCAGACCTATATCGTTACGGTGTCAGGCGGACACGAGGACAGGTGGCGCCGCCGCCGCCCGCATAGCGGCGGGAATGTGAACGAACCTGTTTACCGGATCTATGGTATGGTACCATCGGGGACCGGCCGCCGTCGGCACCATTTCGGGACTTTGCATCGCAATAAAAGGCTTATTTACAATTGAAAATGGACTAGCGAGAGTCGTTATGGAATCAGAATTTGATGCTCTACAAAACTAGGCTATTTTCATTGTGATGGCATCACAGACTACACCGCTAAACCCAATAAAGCAGATTTATGTCGCGTCATCGATGATTACATATAATGTTTCTTTGATATATATGTAGTCGGGTCTTTCAGCTGCGTCCCTCCCCTCCCTCGCCGCGCCGGCGGGTCGGCCATCCGCGGCTTGCCGCCCGCCGGCTGCTGGCCGGTCAGCTGGCCGGTCAGCTGGTCGCCCGCGGCTGTCGGTGCAGTGCGGGATGCCTACTTGCGGGGGGCCGTCGTGGCGGCGGCCCGGGTGGACTGGGCGAGCAGTGAGTTGGGGAGCGCTGCGCTGTCGGTGCTCTAGTTTGTATTGCGTTCGCATGATACGGCTTGAGCCAATACAGAGTAAACTGATTGAGCTGAGCAAGTCTTTATATACATTGAAAAGTAAAGCACTTTTTACTGCATCTACGGTGAGATGCTAGATAAAATTTATGGTCTACCTAATGATACCGATTACTTAACAATTAAGTGAATCATTTCGTCGCTAAACTCTCGTAAATTCGTATGTCCGCCTCACTATGGAATTTGGACCGTAACGTATGGCCTTTGCTCAGACAGTATACGAACAGGTGACGGGAATACCTCCCATAGAAGGATGCGACACGATTTTACTGCTAAATAGCGGCCGGCCGCCGTGGGGACGTTTTTGTACGACTTATATCTCGGCAACCACTGGGCTGATACACGTGCGGTTTTTGTGTGGGGTAGCTTTTTCCCTTCTTTCACATAGTGTGCTACTCTCGATGCATATGGGTGACCCCTAACGCACGTTCCACGTGCAAAGCCAAGAGGTGCCTGTTTTGTAATAAGCGCAATAGCTCGCGGTAATTACTGGGCCGATTGCGCTAAAACTTGGCATGGAGGTAGACACTTTCCAGGCGATGCATTTCCATGTGTCTTGGTAGGGGTGCAACTGCACGTGCGCACGTGCAGGGCGACGCTTCCAGATCTCGAGAACGGCTGGACCGATTGTGTTCAAATTTGGCATAACGCTTGATACCGATCAGTAGGTTGCAGTCATTTAGTATGTATTTCCATGTGCCACGATTGGGGTGCAACTGCACGTGCGCACGTGCAGGGTGACGCTTCCAGATCTCGAGAACGGCCGGGCCGATTGAGTTCAAATTTGGTACACCGCTAGAGACCGATTAGTAGGGTGCCGTGCGCAAGTCAGTTTGGACCCATCTTGCACGTGCGCACGTGCAGGGTGACGCTTCCAGATCTCAAGAACGACTGGACCGATTGCACTCAAATTCGGCAAACATCTAGAGATCGATCAGTAGGGTGCCGTGCACAAGTCAGTTAGTATGTAATTCCATGTGTCACGGTTGAGATGCAACTGCACGTGCGCACGTGGAGGGGTCGTTTCAAGATCTTGAAAACGGCTGGGCCGATTGAGCTCGAATTTGGTACACCGCTAGAGACCGGCGAATAGGGTCCCATGCACAATGCAATTGGACACAGCTTGCACGTGCGCACGTGCAGGGTGACGCTTCCAGATCTCGAGAACGGCCGGGCCGATTGAGTTCAAATTTGGTACACCGCTAGAGACCGATTAGTAGGGTGCCGTGCGCAAGTCAGTTTGGACCCATCTTGCACGTGCGCACGTGCAGGGTGACGCTTCCAGATCTCAAGAACGGCTGGACCGATTGCACTCAAATTCGGCAAACATCTAGAGATCGATCAGTAGGGTGCCGTGCACAAGTCAGTTAGTATGTAATTCCATGTGTCACGGTTGAGATGCAACTGCACGTGCGCACGTGGAGGGGTCGTTTCAAGATCTTGAAAACGGCTGGGCCGATTGAGCTCGAATTTGGTACACCGCTAGAGACCGGCGAATAGGGTCCCATGCACAATGCAATTGGACACAGCTTGCACGTGCGCACGTGCAGGGTGACGCTTCCAGATCTCGAAAATGGCCGAGCCGATTACACTCAAATTTGGCACACCGCTATAGATCAGCGAGTAGGGTGCCGTGCACGTCAGTTTGTAGCACACCGACTCCGGTCTGCACGTGCAAGGCTCATCCTCTCGTTTGGCGGCGGGCGTTTTTGCTGCGTTTACAAAGGTGCTTGCTCAAACAACCTGCGGTCCCGCGATGCGGAGCCCAGCATCGCAGATGCTGGTATGGGAAGCCTAAGATGTTTAATGAAAAATAACCGAAGGTTTGTTGTCAATAGTTAAAACACTATTCTTTAGAATTGTGTTTTTCTATTGAAAAACAAATCTGAGTTCCCTGACAATTTGGCAAAAGCTGCCTGAGATCAGTACAACTTGATGCTCTTGAAAACGGCTGGTCCAAATATTCTGATTTTTTCAGGATTTCTAGTGGGCCAGGTGATCTACGTTCTGGTATGGGTCTCCCCTCCGCGGACCATCTGGTGCACGTGCCACGTGACTTTAAAAATTCCCGTGTTAAGCCAATGGGGAAAATGAAAAAATGCGTTCCACGGCAGATTGCTCGAAAACGATCCAAACGACCCCCCATTTTCTTACATGCAGATCAACCACCATTCGGTGCACTACCCATGGGTATGTCGCAAAGTGGCCGGAAAAGTCCAGAACCACGTGCCACGTGCCGTTGAAAATGACCCTGCACACCGGAAATTGGGACTTTTGGTCATTTCGGCGCACCCATGATGCATACTATGGCGTGGGTGACCAAACAATGGGTGTCATCCGGTCGGCAACTGTTTAAGGTGTCGTCCAGTGGGCCAAAGTGGTAGTTTCAAACTTTTGGGATCCACCACTCTGGGGATTCTTTTTGACAATATACTTACGTTTCTTGGCGCAATGTTCATTCCACCCAGCCGGTCGTCAATGCGTTAGATGACCCAAATGACGATTGACCTGAAGGAAGTTGGGGGCGAGGAACACGCACGTGCCATCCGTTTTTTACTCGGGCGCTTTCATCTAGGAGATTTTTGCAGATACGTCAATGCGTTAGATGACCCAAATGACGATTGACCTGAAGGAAGTTGGGGGCGAGGAACACGCACGTGCCATCCGTTTTTTAATCGGGCGCTTTCATCTAGGAGATTTTTGCAGATATCTTTTTGATTTGTGAAAATGACCAGCCTAGCGGTATGCCAGCCGCTGATAAATTATTATCTTGCTGCGGCCGGGCGCTTATTTGCGGTGTTTGCGTTTGGCGGCTGGCGGGCGACTTTTAGTCGTTTTCGGTTAGCAGTTAGCGTCGGTGCGGTGCGGGCGGTTTTATTTTTTTTCGGCGTTTCGGCGTTTTTTTCTGTGTGGTTTGCGGCGGTCGGGTGATTTTTTGCCGTTTGCGTTGGCTTTTCGGGCGTGCGTTTTACACGTTTTGCGGTGTTTACGTTTTGCGGCGGGCGGGCGTTTTGTGTTTTTTGCGGTGTTTGTCTTTGGCGGCGGGCGGGCGGGCGGGCGGGCGATGCGGGCGGTTTTCTTCTTTTTTTTTGCGTCGTTTGCGGTGTTAAATTTGTTTGCGGTTGGCGGGCGGTTTTATTGCTTTGCGGCGTTTTTGCGTTTTTTATTTGCGGTTTGCGGCGGGCGGGCGTTTGTTTATTTTTTGCGACGTTTGCGTTGGCGTTTCGGGCGTGCGTTTTGCGCGTTTTGCGGTGTTTGCGTTTTCCGGCGGGCGGGCGTTTTTCACAATTCAAAGTCCAAACCTTCGGGCCACAGCGCTCCTCGAAAAGCGCTGCCCTCGAGTAAATGCCAGAACCGTGTTCCTGGTCATCCAATCTATAAAGTCGGGCACAACTTAACTGGTTTTAACAACATTTTAGAAGGTGGGATAGTCCCTTTAAAGGTGGGACAAGAACGCGTGCATTTTTATTCAGTAATTGACAACGTCTGGTCTGCTACAAGGCCAGCATGCAGGACAGTGAACTGTTACAATTAAAATAGCAACAGCACGAGTAAATGACAACGAAGCGGGGCTACCTAGTGAGACAGCGAATCCCCAAATGGTAAAGTCTTTAGCAACAAAAAGCGCTGCGCGGACACCTGTTCTCACCTGGTAGTGCGATCAGCCCCGGGTTGTTGATGGCTGTCGATCCCAGGTTCAGCACGTTGAACGTGCCGAACCTCCTGCTGGAGGCCTCGTGTCCGCTGGCGGACTTGACCGCCGTCCGGTCCACCTTCTCCACCTTGTAGAGGTTCTTGCCGTCCGACTCGACGTACTTGACGGCCTCGACGCGCTGGGCGCCACCCTCGGCACCGGCCTTCTGATTGGCGACGGCCTCTCCACTGGTGATGCCCTTGCCCTGGGTGCCGGTCTTCACCTGGGTACCCTCGGTGGTGGCCTCCACCACTGTGGAGCGCACGCTGACGTAAGTCAGAGGTTCGGAGGGAGGGAAGTAGACTCTTTCACAGACACGAGGTGGAAGTCTTCAGTACAGCCACTGAAGTCATTGGTAATGCTGAGCTGCTGCAGCGGCTGACAGCTCTGAACGCACTGTGACATTACTAAATGGCAAACGTGACCAGACGCTTTCAGCTATATCAGTTCGACTTGTGAAATGCTAAAAATTGCTTGGGCTGTCGCCGAAACAGAACGATATCTTTGAAATTTGCACGAATTTTACCAAGTAAGGATACAGCAGATTTAAATAAATTATACTTTACAACAATAATTAGACACCCCGAAGTCCGAACACACCCTGCCAAATGACCACGGCCATCGCCCCGGCCCACCCTGCGTACCAGTTTTGGAGCGTCCCTTCTGTAGCGACGCGCTGTTTCCGGCCGTGGCACTGCTGCCCGAGATGCCTCCCTGTCCGACTGCGGTGAGGGTGGACACGGAGCCGGGTCCGCGTACTGTCGTGGTGACGCTGGCGGCGCCCGAGGTGCCTCCAGAAGTGGTCACCTGCGCGCCACCGCCCGTCACCACGGCAGAGGCCAGCTTCGAGTCGATGTCGATCACAGGCCCGGACGGCGACGGGGATGGCGTCGAGGGCGACGTGGTGCTCACGGTGGCTTTTAGCGGCACTGCAGACACGGAAACTGCCGGTTAGCGTTGGGCCACAAGACGCTGGCAGTGCATATATCAGCTTCTTGGCTTCCGCTTTACACGGGACAAGCACTAATCGATCCCCAAAGTGTACAAAATACTTTGGAAAGTACCACATTTAGCAAGTACTAAGTCCAAGCAAGTACTTTGGCAAGTACGAGGTACATGCATTGGCAAGAACCGAGTACTTCAGCAAACTCCAAGGCTAGCAAGTTCTCAGTACAGTTTGGCAAGTACCAAGCACTCTGGCAGGCATCAAGTATATCCGCAGTACATTGGCAGGTACAGCAAGTTTTTTCGCGAATAGTAGTTTATATTCTAGTTAGCCGTACCGATCGACATGAGAAAAACACCAATCGATCCTAAATCTTATGCTTTATCTTTTCATGGCCTAACATGGCGCGAAGCGAGCATGATGTCTAGTTAGAAAAAAGCTACTTATATTTATGTATACTTATTATTGTATGTGTAAGGCCAGGGACAGGGTCCAAGAAAATCAGATCCAAACAAACCGTTTTCACGACGAAATAGCGGGTACCTAATAGATGCCTGTTTGGCCCTTTGATACCTCAGGAATTTTAGTAGTTTCCTTTGATGCCTCAGGAATTTTAGTAGTTCTTTGTAGTAGGTGGCCCGTTACCTTTCGAATAAGTGGCCCGTTACTTTGCTGTTTTTCTACTAAATATTACATTAACCCGCGCCCCACTGGGGTCTGCGTATAACACGCCCTACTGGGGGGGGGGGGGGGCTATTCATAGCCCCCCCTCCTAACTCCGAAACTACTGGGCCGATCGTCAAAATTCAAACGGCGTCTGATAGCCCCGGAAAAACTGTCGAGCGAAACCTAATTTCATTGACCTCGGGGTCACCGATGACGTCACAGGTCAGGTCAAAGTAAAAATTATTAGCATTTTGGCTTGTTCACGTTTTGGGCTCTGGCCGCCGTCTTACAAGTCAGATCAGGCTCATTTTTGGATCACACACTCGTGAACAGATGCTCTAGATACCCTGAGGGTACAAAACTTGCACTTTGATTTTCAGGTCAAGGTCAGGTCATCACAGGTCACGAAAATATTATATCATGCGTCGGTCACGTGACACATGTTTTATGGTCCATTTAGGCCAGAGATTTCGAATGTGATGTCGTCTGTGTCATTCGAGGTCATTTTGAGTCGAATTTAGCTTAGGTCAGGTCACTTTCAGGTCAAAAAAGGTCAAATTTTGAAGTTAAAATTTTTCAGCAAAAAAGGTGTCTATTGGATGCAGTTTGAGCTCAGAACACGATGGTGCTACTTATATTGGCGTACGATGTCAAATTCGTGCTGAAAAATTGATTTGAAAAATGAATAATTGTGAATTTTTTGCAATAATGCGTAAAACTTCGTCATTTTTGAAGATATTTAGCTAAAACTTGCTAGAGTTAGTCATAATAATGCGTTCTATCACATATATTCCGATTTTTTCGAAAAGTCAAAAACTTTTTGAAAAAATGTAAAAATATAAATTTTGGATTTTATTATATTAAATTTTCGAAATGTTCAAAATTTCGAAAATCCGAGATAGCAGTTTGATAGCGCAGTCTATTCTGAGTCCTCTCATGCAAATAAATTGGATCTAGCTTAAAAACTGAGCTCTTGGGAGCGATTGCCGTGGTTCAATGTTTTGCGTCGAAATCGGCCGAACATGACGTCACTCTGACGTCATTTCCGGCCGACCTATGGTAGCTACGGACTTAAAATTTCGACACAAGGTGTCAAATTGATGCAGCCGATGGTACGGAAAGTTTGGCGTCGATACGTCAAGCGGTTTGGAAGTTATTGCAGAAAAACGGGAGGGGGGCTATAAATAGCCCCCCCCAGTGGGGCGCGGGTTAATTTATGTTATCTAAGGGTTTACCACTCACGTAAACCTAAAGCGTAAGCACATTTATGAAATTAGCATACCTATCTATATAATGCTAGTACAATGATAAGGAAATATACTGAGCTGCCAGTGCGAGTGACCCAGCTATCCCAATTCCGCGCTGGCTTGGCTTTGGAGCCGCAGCAGACGGCGGAAGTCAATGTCACTGCTAAGGCGGCGGCGGATTTGATGCGCCCGGGCACCACATGGCTGACCGAGCTCTCCCAATTCCGCGCTGGCTTGACTTTGGAGCCGCAGCAGGCGGCGGAAGTCAGTGCCACTGCTAAGGCGGCGGCGGATTTGTTGCGTCCGGTCACCACCAGGGCGCGCGCAGCGTCGGGCCGGTGAAACAGAAGCCGGGTATCGTTGCCAGGCTGATTTGATCCCTCATAGTCGAAAGGTGGGCTACTAGAACCGAAAATTGACTTGTTTGATTGCCAAAATCACCTGGATTACAACTTTTAAAAATATTTTGAAGGTAAAAGACTTAAGTTGTAAGGATCCTAAGGCCTTAAAGGGTTGGTACTTTCCAGGTATCAAATAGGTTCCATCGCGATAGTTCCGTCGTGAAAACGGCCACAAAGTCCCAGATAATTAATTCAAAAGAAAGTAATCCTGTTCATGATAGGCAGATTGATGGCTGCATATCTTGGAACCACCTTAAATATGAGCCATTTTTAATTGAGAACGCAAGTGTCTCTACCGGTCACATCAATTCTTTTTTGTACAAGATTATGGAAAAAAGTTTCAGTTCGCACGCATTACAAGAACAAATGTTGTGTGCAATTTGTTGATGAATTTCTTATTTGATCCTTTTTTTGCTTCTAATGCCGCTAAAGACATGCAATTAAAATCCAGGTAAATGTAAATGCTGCTTGCATATAAGTGGAAATATACACGAAAGCATTGAGTAATCTTATCAATGCAACCGCTCGGTCGCCTCTGCCAACGCGCGTCAGCCTTGATGCTCCAGACAACCGAGATTACTCTGTTCCTCTGCATGTTCCCTAACCTTTTTATTGTGACCCAGCTAGTCCGACCTCTCCCGCTCCTCTCCACTTGCTCACCTGCCGAGGCCGCCGCGGCGCAGAGGAGGAGCAGGCTCGCTGACACCATCCTGTTTGGCTCACTCGGGGCGGCGGATGGAGGCTAGCAGCAGAGTGACGCCGTCGGACTGCCGCCCCGGGCCATATATAGGCGCCCGGCGCGCGGTGACACCCACACACCAGCGGCACCTGTCCTCACCTGTCCGTCAGAAGCAACAGTTCCGGGTCCAACGCACCCGCGCGCGCCACGACGGATGAAGAACTAGGGCTGAGTCGTTGCCGATGATGTGGGATCGTCGCTGGACGGCTGACCGACTGCCGACCGCGATGGGTGAGACTGACAGGTCGGCGGGCAGGGATACACGGACCTGGGCTAAATGTCCGCGGAATGCTGCCGGTGCACTGTGCAGGTTGTTGTTCTGAGAATATGGTTAGATATTTGTTTTAGATTTTCAGTTCTGGATTTGAAACAGAGATGGCAGATTGGTCCGTACCTCAATAATGTCATCTTGCTACGACCACATGGGTCGATAATTCAACGTGGCGACTTTCGTCATCCTCTTAGATGTGCAAGTATTCTCTCAAACGCAGGTGTTCATGGTAAAGCCTGCCACGCAGTCGGACATTCTATGAAGATGGTTGGTGTTCACAGCATAAGTATTACACCACATACATATAGCGGAAGAAAAGATCAAGTTCCACAAACTGTGTGCACTATGCAGCTTCCAGTTTTACGGCTCATATCGTGAGGAGCGAGTACTTCGTAACTGCACCCACCACCTCGTTAAATGTGAATGTGCTCCAATGTTGGTTTGACTTAACCCGCGCCCGGCTGGGGGTCCTGGATTTCCACGCCCTGCTGGGGGGGGGGGGGGGGTTTGAACACTCCCCCTTCTAACTCGGCTCCTGAGCCACGTAGCGATACGCAGAAGGCGGCGTTCGAAAGAGCGTCAAAAATAATGACGAAATTACTTCAGTCAATTTTTTGGTCAGGTCAAAGGTCAGGTCACCAGAGGTCATTGAAGGCAAAATTTCGCCGATTTCCAGGTCGAATATCGAAAATTTCCAAGAAGCCAACGCATAACTCGGGAACCAATAGAGCTACAGCGCCGCAGAAAAGCGCATTCGATAGCCCTATTAACGCCATTTCTGAGTAACTCTCTCAGATTTGACCTATCGTCAACGGTTTTGCCTGCAGGGGGCAAAAACTGCAAAAATAGCCGATTTTTTCGGAAACAGTTTTTCTGCAACAACTTTTGACCCAAGCCTTGTACGAGCTTATTTTTACCAGCATCGTGTTCCTCTCGTCAAGACGCATCGAATGAACTATAACTTGACCTTGAAAGGTCAACTTGAAAATTTGACCTCAGGTCAAGGTCATGACCTGACCGGAAAGGGTCATGTTGCATATCAGTCGATCCGTATCGTCTAGCTGAACACATCTAAGGCTTTTTCATCGCTCTAGCATGCCTCTATCAAAAGTTATTTGCGAAAAACTGTTAGATACCATTCGTGACCTAAGATGACCTCAGGCATAAACAAGGGTCACGGACACCATTTTCGTGTTCAGTGTGTCTAAACCACTTGTAATTCGGTGTTTGGGAGTGTTTATAATGTCTTTCGTCCAAAAGAGGCGCATTTCAATTTTCTCCCATTGACTTATAATGGGGAGGTCGCAAAATTGACCTGACCTTAGGTCATCGATATCAAAATTCTGAGATATACATTTTGTACATGCTATTGCTCTAAGCAATCGCTGAAACTTTCAAAGCGATCGGTCACTCGGTGTAGCTATGACAGACATTGAAACTTTTTATGAGGTGAGGTCACTTCAAGTGAGCTGGTGACCTGACCTTGAATGACCTTGGTCTGAAATTTTCACAACATGTCACGCTGGTCCAGATTCACGTAAGACCCGATCTAAAATAATATTTGCTGTTTTCGAATTTACTTATTCCAGGGTTATTTTTCTTTTGTTATGTTCCTGGGGAACCGAGATATGCTTTTAGTTTGGTTCCCGAGCCCTCTGATCGGGAGCAGTGCGCGTTTAAAAGTGAGGATTTTTCCCCTCTTTGTGCCGCTTCTCAGCAAGTGACGAGTTGTGCTCGTGTGCTCACCAGTGAACGTTCGTGTCTCCAAGTTTTTGTGGTACCTCCAGTCACCCAAGGATGGCAACTTCCCAACCAAGTGGTCGTTTCCCCTTTTGAGCCAATACTGGGAGAATTCCCTTTGGTTGGAATCACATGTGGTCGTGCGGTCGCTTGTTGTTTGTTCATCGGATGAAATCGTACAGAAGGACAGCAAAGTACAAAATCAAACCCATATCATGTGATACCTACGACATCACTCTTCACTTGGTAGGAAAAGGTTTTGCTACTTTTTGCTACTTTAGCAGTAAATTAGATTTTCCCGTTTCAGATCCACTCAATGAGATGGCGTCCCCCACCCGTAGGGAGCTTCTGGAGGCGATGCTGGGAGCCGGTCCCCTGATGTCGGACGAGGCATTGCAAGCTGGTGTCGAGTTCTTGTGTCTTTCGGTTCCTCCTGGACGTGTGCCTGACCATTCTGTCATCCGGGACGTCGTTCTTGATCACCGGAAGAGGATGCATCGACGCTGGGATGCTCCTGGAGTTCGACGGATCTTCGCGAAGATGCTCGACAAACATGCAGTCTGGCTTCTCGAATCTGTTCCAGTGGCGATCCTGGCACCTGCAGCTCCTGGGCAAGATGACCCGATGGATGGCCGCGGACGACCGTCGCAGATGCCGGCTGCCTTCACCCTCGTCTCCTCCCCCACCAGGCGCCGCAACGTGTCCCAGCTCCTCGACCAAGGATTCACCGGCGAGCAGCTGGCGTACGCGGCTCAGATGACTCTGAGGAAGGAGGGGAGGAAAACCGAAGCCGACATCATCAAGAAAGTGATTGCGGCAGACGGCCCGGACCCTACTGTGGTGCAGGCATCGTACCGCGGACCCCCTCCATCGCTTCCGAAAACGCTGTCGGCCGACGAAGCTCTCGTGTTGCTCTTCAACACCAACAGGACACGAGCTGCGTACCAAGAGGTCCGTGAGACATCAAAGGACCACGTCGCCGACATCTTCCCGCAGTTCAACTTCGTATTGGATGCCAAGAAGCGATGCCATCCGGCTGGAGTTGTTGTCGACGACCGGGGCGCTTCTGTCCCCGTGCAGCAGTTGCTTGACCACACGGCGTCAAGGCTGTGCACGCTCCAGGCGTCGGTCATCCAATCGTCGGCAGCTCAAGGCTCCTTGATCCTGACCTCCAAATACGGGTTTGACGGCGCTACCGGTCAACAAGTCTACCGCCATCGACAATCAACGGACGTCGATGACTACCATGTTCCTGGCGAGTATGGTCCCTCTGCGGCTCCGGACCGAGGATGGCCGAGTGATCTGGGCGAACCCGAAGCCAAACTCCACTTTCTTCTGCCGTCCGATCAGCTTCATCTTCGAGAAGGAGTCCAAGGAGTTGACCACCGCCACCTACTTCCAACTCCAGCAGGAGGTGGAGTCACTCACGCCGTCAGTCGTCCAACTCACTAACGACGTCACCATCTCCGTCCGCCATGAGATGACGTTGACCATGATTGACGGCAAGGTCCACAACGCCATCCAGGGCATCCGGTCGCAACAGGTCTGAAACATCTGCGGGGCCAAGCCTACGGAGATGAACAACATCGACGGAGTCTTGGCCCGGCCCATTGCAGGAGACCGGACTCAGCACGGAATCTCCACCCTCCACTGCTGGATCCGGTCGATGGAGATGTTCCTTCACATCGCGTACCGACTCCCGTTCTGCGAGTGGCAGGCCCGTGGAGAAGGAGAAGCAGCGGATCGTCAAGGAACAGAAGCAGCGGATCCAGACCGAGTTTCGTCAGCGTTTGGGGCTATTGATCGACCAGCCCCTTCCTGGCGGAGCTGGAACGACCAACGACGGCAACTCGGCCCGCCGCTTCTTCTTGGAGCACGAAACGTCTGCGGACATCCTGGGCCTTGATTCCACCCTGATCCGCCGCTTCAGCTACCTCCTCCGCGCTGCGTCCTCCAACTTCCACCTCGACGAAGAGCGGTTCGGCGTGTACGCGGTTGAGACGGCCAGGATGTTGGTCAGTCAGTATGGTTGGTTCAGGATGCCCCAGTCGGTCCATAAGCTCCTGATCCATGCTCCCACTGTCTCCGCCGGCATGCTCCTTCCCCTGGGGGCGATGTCAGAGGAAGCCCAAGAAGCCAGGAACAAGGACTTCAAGGCAATCCGGGAGCACCATTCGCGCCAGATTTCCCGGGTTCAGTCCAACACCGACCTGGTCCACCGGCTTCTTGAAACTTCCGACCCCTTGATCAGCCCCCTCCGGATGCGGAAGCTGAAGATTCCGACGACCACGGCCACGGACCAGTTTCCTTCAGAGGTCCTGGCCCTCCTTCGGGCTCCTTCGGCGAAGCTGTAGAGCCTGGGTGGTGGTGGTGGTGGTTGTCTTGCTGGTCGCGGAGATGAACTTTCAGTGTGTGTTATGATGGGGAGGGGAGGCATAAAGTTGCCAACTTTCAGTGTGTGTTATGATGTGACATATAAACAGTTTTGTTACAAATCAGTGTGTTTGTTAAAGCTGGCCAACTAAGATCACTCGTTATTTTCGGTTTCTGAGGTAAAATGTAGAAATTCGGTCATGTTTATGCTTATAGATCCTTTTCATGTGGATTTGAACTCAGTTCACTCAAAAATTATTTTTGATCGACTTCTTCGTGAATCTGGACCAGTGTGCATGTGTAGAATTGATGTATGATAAGGTGTACCAAAAACGGCGGCGTTCCGCGCCGCCGTTTTTGAGATATTCGCGAAAAACCACAAGGGGGGGGTGTTCAAACACCCCCCCCCCCCCAGCAGGGCGCGGGTTAAACTCCGCCTGTCACGTGATCTCGGAGCTAAAAAGAAATTGAGACTGCTGCAGATGCCCGTCGTTGAGCACTTTCAAACGCCTCACCATAGTGCGCATTTCGTTGCAAATCTCAGTTTCGGTGACAGTCTAAGAATGAGTGGTGGACAACACCCATTAGTCAATGGTGTTCAGCTGAAGGCTCAGTCCAGCGCCTGCACAGTGCAAAAGTCAGTTTGAAGTCTCAGTTACACTCCTGCACCTGCAGTGCTCACTCTCGCGCTCGCTCGTTTGACGCTCCAAAAGACGCCTTACTGGACCAACGGAATTCCAACTCTGAGTGCTAAGTGACTGGCTCTGACTGACATTAGTTCTAATAAGAAAACTTTGACACCAATCGAAGAGCCTAAAAACTAATTTATAACCAGATAAAGATATAAAAACTAGACAAAGTAGAACGTTCGATGTGTGGCCTGTTTTTATGCCACTTAAAACCGCCCGATAGTCCTAGCC